ATATTTATATATTTATTTTTTATCTATAAACCCAACCAGACGAGAAAACAAATAGGACCCAACCAGAAATATCCCCTATAATAATAATAAAATATCTTTATTCACATAGACGCTTGCGCGTTCTTATGAAACGTCAAAATTTTACAAAGAAATTAATACGTTCTTAAGTTACCACATATGGTCATAAGATCAGTGTAACGATAAAGTTATTTAACAATCCACCGTCACTTGTTTATAAAACGAAGAATTGACCTTTGAACTCATTACAAACATCACAAATGGTGGCTATTCTCGGAAAACAGTCACTAATTTAGACTACTATGATTGGGCACCGATAGCCGTGTCCGAAAGTTGTTTTCGATCTTCGTTCCAGTGTTAATTGCAACTGGTCGAGGGATCAAACCCCAACGCAGAATTAACTTTTTGTAAATCTTATTACAGCTACTAATCAAAATATTTCAACTTCTAAAAATTTCAACCATTGAGTTCTTTATAAGGAAAAAAATATATTTCTTACATTAAATTATAAAATGGAACTTCTAGATAATGTCACACGCCGAAGAAGACCTCAGACAAAATCATGGACGAATGAAAGTAGTGATACTGTTACAGAAAAGGAATGTATTATAAACACAAGTAACTTGATGCTAGATAGCGCTAGTGTTAGTTTGCCATACTTTTCTGACGACGAAAATGAAATACAGATGCGTGATTTAAAAAACGCAATCGAGAAACTTAAGCAAGAGTTAACAGTGGCTCACGAAGAAATCAATAATCTATCTCTTGAAAAAACGCAACTAAAAAGAACAATTGCTGATTTAAATACGAAGCACTAGAACTAAGTACTATTTCTAGTCATACGTGCTAAAAAACTATTTGATAATCTAGACACAAAACTAACTAACTACTCGCGAACCGATTATTGTGTGAAACGCTGATTAATATTAAAACTATTTATTGAAAATAATCACAATTTATTCAAAACACAAACTGACAGAGTTCCGCCTTTGTAACACAAGATCGTCACAGTGCCCCCCGAATTGGCAATTCGGGGTATTATACATTTTTCTGACAGTTGGTGGATGTGGCGTCACAATAATCAATACTGGCGCTAGGTTAATGTTTCCGGCACTTTACTGTAATGGCATGGCATTGCTTGGCATCGCATCGCATCGTATGGCTTGGCTTGGCTTGGCCTGGCTCGGCTCGGCTCGGCGTGGCGTGGCGTTACAATCGGCCTTCCTGCAACAATTGCTCCCGCAATGGGGCGTAACATATCGATTAGCTCTCTAGAAGGTCAATAAGGTCTTCAGTCTCTAATTAGTCGTCAAAACTGCTAGTGTTGTCAGAGGGAGCAATGCTGCGATAAGGTCTCAGGGAGTCGGCAGGGACTAGGCCTGTAAAATTTTTGTAGACCCTTAAACCCTTCACTGAGAACCCTGTACCGAGTCTACTGTAGAAGATAAAAGTACCAATAATATACCTAGAAATCATGAAATTGAAAATAATTTATTACGGAACAAAATTTAAATACACATTGTTTCATCAAAATATATCAGGAATTTTAAACAAAAAAAATTATTTGAAATAATTCTCCAAGAACTAGAAACGAAACAAGGCCCAATTCATATTATATGTCTAACGGAAACGTTTATGAAAAGAGGGACAGAGGTCAATCTTCGTATTAACAATTATAAATTAGTGGCACATTTTTCTCGAATTCAACAGCGTAGGGGAGGTTCGAGTATTCTAGTTTAAAAAACTTAGAGAGTAAACCACTACACATTTTCGTGGAACCTAAGCCGTTCGATCCATTTTGAGTACTGCGGTGTTGAAATAGTACCTTTAAAACTCTATATTGTTTGCATTTATAGAGTACCAAATTCTAATGTAAACTATATTTCTTGAAAATCTTAAGCAACTTTAAAAAATCTTACAAAAAATCAAATAAAAAATTATGTTATGCGGGGACTGGAATATTGATTTGATGAAGTCGACTAATACAACGAAAGACTTATACTCAATACTCCAAAATCATAATATTAAAAGTCATATCAATACACCAACAAGAAAAGATGCGTGTTTAGATCTAATAACTAGTAACTTACTAAAGGTGACCTCGAACACACATTACTTAGCGGTATCAGATCACGAAACAGGCCAAAGCATTTCTTTTGAGATGAAATTAATGTACAGTAACGACATACTTAACGGTCAATTTTGGTTCGAAACGCGGAGAGATTATAGAACCGAAAACACAAAAAAAATTATCGCTTGCATGACTAATCTCTCATTCAATGAGGACTATGAAAGTAATGATGTTGACGAAGCTTTTGAGCTTTTCACGATACGTTAACTCTATTTTATAATCTATGTTTTCCAAAAATAAATGTAAAAAATACAAATCATTCATTTTGATTAATCCATCCATTTTGATTTAATGGATTTACCATGATGCCTTAAAAACATCCTGCATGAATAAGAGGAGACTATATTTAAAATATCCACAGTCACCTATAAATAAAACAAAAAATCTAAGAAAATATAATAGATACTAAACCATATTGAAAAAATGTACACTCCAGGCTCACAAAATTCAAAATATATTTACAATTCTAGAAATACATGCAAATCAGCGTGGAAAATAATTAAAAATGATGCTTCTTCGGAAGTGAACAGTACAGAGATAAAAGTATTAAAAATTAATAATAAGGAATTGTCTAATTCAAAAGATATAGTCAATAGCTTTAATGATTTATTTGTAAATTTAACTAAAAAAACAGTATGTTCTACAGACAATAACCCAATTTTGAAATTCCTACCAAATAACCATAACACAATTTTCCTAAATCCGGTTGATAGGAACGAAGTTTATAACGTTATTATATCTCTTAATAAGACTAATTCTGCAGGTTATGATGAAATAAACACAAAAATGTTAAAAAGATGTGCCGAGACTCTATCTGGTCCTCTATGTCATATAATAAATATGTCTTTCTTTCGAGGTATGTTGCCAACACGATTTAAGTTCTCTGTAGTGAAGCCCCTTTTTAAAAAAGGCGATAAAACTAATTTGAACAATTATCGACCGGTAACTTTAATTCCAGTTTTGTCAAAGATATTCGAAAAAACTTTTTATATAACGATTTTAATTTTTTTTAGATATGTTCAAAGCTTTTGATTTTGTATCCCATAGTATTCTTTTAAAAAAGCTAGATAAATATGGTATCCGAGGAAATGCATTACACTGGATAGAAAGCTACCTTTCAGATCGCTATCACCATGTTTTTCAGGTCTATACAAAAAGTTACAACGGTCTCGATATCAATTGAATGGATGTGGTGTACCACAGGGAAGTATTTTGGGGCCACTCTTATTCTTAGTCTACATTAATGATCTCCCAGATGCGACTACGTATAAATGTATCTTGTATGCGGATGACACAATATTACTAATACAGTGCAAAAATGAAGATACCTATGAAAGACAAATAAATCAAACTCTGCATAATATTACTGAATGGATGATTAGAAATAATTTAAATTTAAACGTTAGTAAAACCAACATTATTCAATTTCAATATATTGTATCTATATTATATCTATAAATGTTACAAATAGTAATAAGATGCTAGAAAAAGTAGAATCAACAAAGTTTATGGGCATAACGATCGACAAATATTGCAGCTGGAAGGTACATAGCGATAAAATTTGTTCCAAGTTAGAAGGTTACGGATACATGTTAAACCGATTAAAACAAATTGCGACACCAAGCGCTGCTCTTTGCCTATCCGGGTATGTTTCCTCCATTTTGCGTTATGGAATAATTATATGGGGTAATTCGATCGATTTAATCAGAGTTTTCAGAGCGCAAAAACAATGTCTCCGATCTATAAGTGGCGCAGAATACCTAGACAGTTGTGTACCACTATTTAAAAAACACCATATACTGCCGCTACCTTGTTTATACATTTTCGAATTTGGATATTTGCTCATAAACATCCGGCCCTCTTGAAAAGTAATTTAGAAATAAACAACCGAAATAGTAGATTCTCGAACAAACTACACATGCCCCATCGTACCACAAAGTTCAGGAAAAACTGTTATTGTACGGCCATTAGTTTCCCTAAAATTGTAAAATAAAAAATATATAATAAATTACCAAATAGATTAAAAACTTTTAATTTAAAATTGTTTACGCGAAATCTGTTTAACTTTTTGATAAGTAAATGTTATTATTCAAATAATAAAATTTTATAAAAACAATTTTCCTAGATTATATTTACTTTTGTTTTGTTTTCTTTTGCGTGTTTTTAAATTAAAATGTAATATTCGTACAGTGTACACCAGAAATGGTAGAACATAAAGGATCCACAGCTTTCAAGACCATATTGTACCATGTTCTAACAAATAAACGTATTTTAATAATTAAACCACCTAAAAGTAGTATCTGTAATGCGTATGGAATATAGATATTTTTTACATAAGTCAAATTTGTTCTCGCATCTGGCCAGTTATGTATTTATGGAAAATTACGGTTAACGTAACGATCGCTAATTTTGACTGCAAAAGTTGTTTTTATTAGTGATAACTATAATAAAAATAGGGAAAATCATTTTGTTTCAAATAATAGCTAACTTGTTGTAATCTGAGAAAAGTATCTTTTGAGATGTTGTACCTACATTCTTCAACGAAAAAAGACGTCAACATCCATTTAACGTTAATTTTATAAAATTTAATAACCTAGGACGTACCATTGTTGTCTTCAGATGCACCAAATCTGACGCGAAAGGAGCAATCTATTTGACGACTAAAAATGGAACATTTCCAATATTACTCACATCCTTGAATTCCCACGATGCCGCCGCAACTCAAGACACTCCCAAGATTTTCTCAGCAACCACTAAAAATGTCACTAGCGTTCAGTGGGACGACTATGTCTCGGATGAATTGTTGTTCTCCAATTTCTTGAACGAAACGCAAGATTACGACAACGTACAAATGTGGAAAAAGAACCACAAAAGGAGCATTAATGACGCCGTGTCAAAGAACATCACCTTGGTTTTGGAGAATTTGCTTAAGAATTACGAAAATTCACAACTCCCTACTCATGGAAAAGGTTAAGTTATATTAAATATATATTTTGTCCATTTAAATTTTTTCCTAACTCCTATCAATCAGACCAATGTCATATCGCACTTATTTCGAGAAAATATTAACATCTTTTTTTTCTTTTGTGCTTCTACATATTATACTTATACAGCGTGTCGTTACCATCGCGACAATAAATGAACACACGTCTAACGCTACTTGCCAATAATCATAAAAATAAATATTAACGTTAAACAAAATCCATAATTAAAAAAAAATTTTTTTCAAACAAACTAATTAAGTAAAAAAAGAAACAAAATTTGTAACATCCTATACAACTCGCGCCACAGCGTCGTATTACAAGCCTCTCCTTCTAACAGTATGTTTTGTCTCTTTTAAATTCATTCAACCCATTCATAATGCTTTGTGACCTTTACAAATGAACTTTACGTTACGCTTTTATAGGTAAGGGTGTTCTAAAATTCTTTGTTTTGGAAAATTTAATAACTCTGTAAATATTGATGTTTAAAGAATTTAAATGTTTAATACAACTTTAAAAAGCTATCCCCTATATGTGTGTTCATTTATTGTCGCGATGGTAACGACACGCTGTATATACATTATACAATACTACATATAATGCCAAATAGTTGTATGACATATTTTGTTTATTTGCAGGCTATCCAACGGTCGTTCAAACGAACATCTTAATCAGAAGTATGGGTCCTGTGTCCGAACTAGACATGGTTTGTAACTTACATTCATTGATTTCTATCTCTTCTAAAAGATTATCGAGGAATGGAAGACGGGAATTGTTGAGGGAAATATTTTGCGATACTCCAGTAATGCCTATAAATGGATTTAGTGTCGTGTCCTTCCTACACTTCAATACGTTTCCACATGCGGTTGTTGCTTTCGAACAATATATTCCATGCATTATTTTTCCTAACAAACTATAGTTATCTTAGCTTAACTTTTTATACAGCCTTAAGTATTGCAATTAATAATATGTCTTATGAAATGTTATTAGTAAAGCACCGACCATTCTTTGTCTAAAAATGAAGGGTGGAATATTTTTGTAAGGTGATAATAAAGGTGACAGATAATCAAGCGGGTGATGCATGATAAACAGTGCAAGTCATTAGTATAATTGACAACAATTTGATTAAATTCAACAATTTTGAATTTTTCAATTCCACCTCTTTCAACCACATTTGTTCTGTATATAATTAGCTGCATAAAGCTTAGCATAACCAATCTAACTAAATTTAACTGTAAAAGTTAAATTACAAGTTCATTTTAAGTTCAATTCGAATTACAATGAAATACTTATTATGTATAAAGGCACACGTATATTAATGTTTCATGACATTTTTACAGCCGTATTGATTTTCAAACATACATCTCCTTCATGATGGAATACTACACACATTTTATTATATTTCTTGTATATTGTTTCCACAGGATTACTCAATGGATTGTTACTTTAGGCAGTATTGGCGCGACACGCGTCTGTCGTTTCTCGGCCCAATTCGCTCCCTCTCCTTGTCCATCAAAATGTTGGAGAGAATATGGCGCCCCGACACGTACTTCTACAATGGAAAGCACTCCTATGTTCACACTATTACGGTACCCAACAAACTATTGCGTATCAGTCAACATGGTGATATATTGTATTCTATGAGGTAAGAAAAAGGAAGCTCTCGTGTCACGAACGATTAAATTTAAAGCACCAAAATTTTATCTCATGTGAAAATGTTTCTCCAATAAATCTTTACAATTATCTTCCAAATGCTAATAAATATCACTTCCATTTGAACAAATTGAAAGAAATATCGATGAGATACCTACAATTGCTTATTAGATTGACAAAACTCAACAGCGTAAGAGAGACCGAAATTCAACAAGGCGATAATGTTTTATTCATGAAACTGGCAGATTTTGCTGTTCCTAAAAAGTTATAAAAGTCTTATAACCATCAAATGGATAGACGATAATTAATTTTACAGACGTTCATCAAGATGGCGTCTCATTTTAACGAAATGAAAAATTCAAATCTCCTATTACGCCAACGAAGTGTTCCTTGGTCACAAAATAACGTCGTTGTAGTTAGGCTATAAAGTCCTTGTAATTATAATTAAGATAAAAATATTGATATCAGCTACTAGTTTCACTAGATGACTATTTTCGTATCACACGATAACTTTACAAATCTATACTATATAAACTTTTTTATGCGCTAGCATAAACCTACGACTTTGTACCCGTGGATATCGTTACTGAGTAAAAGTTTATCTGACAACTTGGATAATCTTTTCATGGGTGAAGTTTTTTAAAACAAATGTTACTCGTACCAAAAAACAAAACGGTAATTTTTTTAATTTAGAATTACAAAGTAGAAGAAATACGCAAACTTTTAAACTCCTTATAGTGAAAGTTATACCGGAATTCAGTTATATGTAGTTTAACTTAATTTTAACAAAATGACGCAAGTTTAGTTTACGTTCTGTCGAAGTCGTGTTTCGTTCGGATATTCACTGCTTGCTTATCAATGACCACGTATTAAACCATTGCGAATTCAGTGTTCACAAAATATCAATCGCTACAACAAGATTGCCCCAAATTCAATCTCAACGAGTGTGTAATCGGTATAACGGGAAATGATCGAATACGCAGCGCTCTATGAAACAATAAGGTTTATGCGCGATTTGGAATCTAATCCACTCACAAAACTCATTTTAGCATCACTAAATACGGGTTTCAATTTAGTATAATCGTAATTTACAGATTGACGATTAAAGCGAAATGTCCGATGGAGTTGCGCAATTTTCCAATGGATAGACAGTCTTGTCCCCTCATACTCGGGAGCTGTAAAGTATTTATGTACACTTCTTATCCCAAAGATGCGTTAGTCCTCTAATAAATGCCAAGCAAAACTACGTATTGTCCTTTTAAAATCAGAATGCATTTGTTTTATTAACAATAAAGAAGGAAAGAAAGAAAGAAAGAAAGAAAATAAATTTATTTACCAGAAAAAGGACACACACAACAAAACTAAATTTAACAAAGAATAAAATATAAATAATATACCTTTAGTTTTATTTTTCTTTTCAAGCCAATTTGTTTATTCTGTTTTATATGAATATGTCCAGTAAAAAATTCGGCACGCACGTTTAACGGCGAACAAACTGCATTAAAATAATTATGTTATGTCGACCGTCCCGTCAAGCGTTCAAACATTGATTTTAATTTTCCGTCTGTAGATTTTGCGAAATTGTAGCGCGAAATCCAATGAATTGACTCGATGTGATGAATTAATTTGAATAAAATCATATTTAAATAAATATTAACATTTTTTTTTTGCTTTCCAGACGCATACTCCAACCAACAATTGGTGTACCAATGGCAGAATTCGCAGAGCGTAAATTTCGTACCCGGCATGACGCTTTCGCAGTTCGATCTCATTAGTTTTCCTTATCGGAATTTTACGTTTACAAGAAGAGAAGGTAGGTGTATAAATGTTATTTACAAAATAAATATACCGAAAATCTGTAAAATGAGCCATAATAATTTATATTCGCGCTTGGAGTATGGAGCGTATGGATTTGGTTTTTAATTAATAAATCAAAAAACTTTATTTGCAAACACGGTATAAAAAGAGGTTACAATGTTTATAGTGCAGTCGTGTTTCGCTAACAATAGTGCTTTACAGGATTCCTCTGCCGATATCCAAAATATTGCACGAATGCATTTTTTTTAATAATGCTGAACCCAAGTTCAAATCCCAATTAGGATACGAAAGAAATTTTAAGTACTTATTTAACGCTCTCGCGTAAGGAAAAATTCTTCGAAATACAAAGAAATACATATTTAAAAAAAACATGTTAACCCCGCATTGGAGTTGCGTACGCCGAGCGCAGTATTAGGGAATTAGAACATAGGTACATACATTTATATAGCTGTAAATAAACATATTTATGTCTAAAAATAAAACATGTATACATTCAGAAAGAATACAATTGAAAAAGGTTGTTAATTTTTTCGCATGAGTTAACGCAAAGGTGAATGACGAGATATTATTACATCGCCTATACAAATGTAAAGTAATTTGTGGAAATATAATTTTCTTATTACCATTGATACAGAGTATTTCATCTGAATATAAATGGTTACTGGTTAGTTGTATAGAGCTGTGTGCGACACAGATCCTGGAATACAGTCAATCGAAGCGATTACTCATTACGGTTGTGTTATTTTGCTAAATTTAACATACGCATTAACGCATTACACAAGTCATACTTATATATATTTACATAAACTTAATAGATTGAGTACAGCATACAAAATTAGTAATATACATTTACTTTACATTATGTATTAATAGTAATAAAGTAATTTATTTCAATAATAATAAATGTATGCATTTATAATAATTTTTGCAATAAATAGTATCTTATATAATTGTATATGGTAGTTATACAAGTAGCTTGTATGTAAATCTAGGGAATAAACTATCTCCTTACCAATTATCATTCAAATTATTTTAGCCGTTACTTTGTGAAATGTATTAAACGCCCACAAAAACTTTTACATCTGCAAAAACAGCGCGCGGACTGTTACCACACCCCAACTCTTTTAATTTTAAAATTCAACGCGGCTGTATGGAAACTATCGTTAAAAAGAGTAATTTTAATATAGGAGAACACAAATAGAATACATTTCGTAATGAAGTTAAACTATTTTTTATTACCATCGTTTCGAATACTTTACCTTATGGTGGCGGGAAATTGGTCTGTCGGTCAGGGAATAGAATAGTGATTTATTAACGTGCAGTGCTCACGTAAACACAAGAAGTTATCAAAGCTATTAAGCTACCTTCTCCTTCTTAAATTGGTAAGCAAAGCCGATATAACACAGCTTTACAATGATGAAGGAATCGCTGTTTGAAGAATTCGCTAACGGCGCTAATAGAACGGGCATTGAGGTGAAAGCTCTCCAGCCTTCAGCGTCTCAAAACAGCTCCGTCCACTAATCACGTTCGGGCGCAATCTTCATCCGCTTACCTCCTAATGTGTTCCCGCGTACTTGGTTCAAATGCAAATCTCATACATACTGATCGCATAATAAATCCAACATTGTTACGAACCGACGCTTTGCTTTCTTTTTCACAATTCACGTGAATACGGGCGTTACCGATTGATAATTGATTCAATTTTTTCTTTCTATATTGAATACAAAAAACATCACCCATTTTAGAACGATTCACTACAACGAATTATACAGATGGACAGATCATTTAAATCCAAAACTGATCTAAGGTGTGCTATGTATAAGACCATATATACACTGTGTTACATAATTTACCATGAATAAGAAAAAGTTAGCAAATCAAAAAAAAATTTTCAACATAATACCTTTTACAACATAATGACTATTTCGATATTTTTTTGTTCCGATTGATTTTCGCGTCAAGACCCAGTAGGTCTGGGCGCGTTACCAAAAAGAAGAAGGCACAAATTCCTCAGCGCTGAAAAATTTTCACAATGTATTCATTAAACACATTTATATAGTTTTCGTTATTAAATTTTCGTAGATAAATGAACAAAAACGTTTGGCGCTGCGGGATGCGAACCGGTGCCTTCGGGTTTCGCGCTCAGACGTTTTGCTACTAATCTAAGCGGCCGATGACCGCACGGTGAGAAAATTTTGACATCTTTCAACGTGTAATTAATTTAAAATGAAAAAATACGCGTGTTAGACATTTTTTAAATAAAAAAATAACATTACTAAACCATTTTCATTCGAAGTTATTTAAATATCTCGTGAATACCGCATCAATTGTACTTTTATATCTAGTTGTGCTAATATTGCGTTGATTGGACATAGTAAAATCAAATTCTCTATTCAAAAAATTCAATTAAGCACAAATTATAGCTGCGTCTCGTAACGGTGTCGCGAGTCCCGAGATTTTATCTCATCTAAAAATATGCGTACCTCGCTAAAAGAAGTTTTCACTACAAAAAGTAATTTCATCTTAAGTGCAAATCAATAAAATAACCTAAATGTTGCGTTATTATGAAAAACACATAGTTTACAAAAGTATCAAATCGATAATGATAGAATTTAATATGACATATTGATTTTCTCCACTGCCCATTTTTCATCTTGTACAAAATATGATATTCGTTTTCCGTACTTAGCAGCGGATCTTTCACAGCGCGTATAGAAAGCGACAAGCCACCTTGCATCGACATGAATTGGCTTTTACGCTTCGAAGACTTAACATTTACTGAAATGCTGAACATTACTGACGCGGCAAATGATCATTAGTTCTATAGAATCGAAGAATTCTCAAAATTGAAACAAAAACTTAGCAATAAATTATACCTATTAAAAAAATCAACGTAATTCTATTTGAAATAATTTCAATGTTAGAGCGACTAATAATATTGTTCGCTTACCTTTATTAACATTATTATTGTGTTAAAAATGTTATTGCGTACTCTTATAAGCATTAAGTCATATACTTTCTTTAAAAAGTCGCACCCTGATTTCAATAAGGATGATGGCTGAGTGTTACCATCAGCTTGTAATTCATAATCGCTCTTTCCCTCGTGAGTCTGGCTTTACAATTTATATAATAATCTGATGGAAGCCCAGGTTAACTGGACTGTAAAATGGCTAGGACGGATTTCGGGGAGGGCAACCGGGGCTCCCACAATAGACTTAGGAAAAAAAAATATGCGAACCGCAATTATATCCGGGGTGCAAGTCTGATGCTGTATTCGCGCAAATTACAAATATTTTTTAATATTTTTAATAATAGCACATTTCTATAAAAATATTTTCCGGTTTTTTACTTCCTTTCGCAGGTGATTTCTCCGTACTCCAAGTATCGTTCAATCTTAAGCGCCATACAGGTTATTTCCTAATTCAAGTGTATGTTCCCTGCATTCTAATAGTAGTGCTATCTTGGGTTTCGTTTTGGATTCATCGCGAGGTAAGATCTATATTAAAACTGTATTATTACAAAATTGATGAGTACACTAATGATTGCTACTGGTTATTATTAATGCATAGCATTAAGTAATATAATATTGTAAAAAAAGTAAAGTACCAACCTATACATGTCCCATTGCTGGGCAAAGGCGTCATCTGCACGGAGGGTATCAGGGCCATAGTCCACCACTGCGGATTGGCGAACTTCACATATTTTCTAAAACATTTTTTTTGTTATTATTTCGAAAATATGCAGGTTTCCTCACGATGTTTTCCTTCACCGTATTATATTATTTTATTTAATGCTTGCTTTCCGATTTCCAACATTTTATAGACGAACTGCGATGGAATACATGGTTTTCCTATATCCTTCGTAACGACTAAAAATTACTAAAACTATGTGATATTCAAAAGCCAAGAAGTATTAACTTTTTCAATTTTATTTTGTTTTTAAAATAAATTAAATATATTTTAGGCTACTTCCGATCGTGTCGGTTTGGGAATAACAACAGTTTTGACTCTATCAACAATCAGTTTAGATTCAAGGACCGATTTGCCCAAAGTGCGCTATGCCACTGCTCTTGACTGGTTTTTACTTATGAGCTTCTTTTACTGCATTGCCACTTTGCTTGAATTTGCTGGAGTACACTATTTCACCAAGGTATAGTAATAATACAAAATTGATCCGAAAATTAAAACTCGCTTGTACACAATCATTAAGCTTAAAATAATCTGATCCAGAGCCGCATTTTAATATTGTATTTGTTCAAAAACAATAACATAAAATTTTAAGAATACTGGAATATACCCACTTCTGCAAAAACTAAACTGGACTGTCGTGCGTACATAAACAGACGGAACACGCAACACGCAAAAGAACGAATAGAATAAATAATATATTAATATTGGTTGTTAACAGTTTTTGTGTGTGTATGCGTGTTTTGATAAGGTTTTAATTTACGTTAACTTGAATAAATGTAAGTTCAAACCTAGTTAATACTTACTCCCAATATTAAAGAAGAACATAACAAATTTTAGACACTATAGCTCGGTGCTTTTGATTGGAACTTAGGACACACGTGAGTAATAAAATTAAAGATTTTTGTTTGTTTGTCCGGACATCGCACAGGTAACTCATAATTGTAATTAAAACTTGATCTACAATTATAAAATAAGCTTTTGTTACATTAAACTTGAATTACATTATTAATATAGCAGTTTAAATATTTATCCATTATCAAAGTAGAACAGTCTGTCTTGTAACCATGGATATTGTAGTGTTCAAAACATGGAAAATATAGAAACAAATTGAACACGAAAAATCCGTAAAATAGGTTTATTTACAACAAACAAAATGTTTAATCATTTGCCTATGTTCAGGTTGGGTCGGGTGAAATAGTTATTGACGACTCAGAGTGGGAGGAACTTATCGAAGAAGTAGGAGGTGACGCGTTCGCTGCTAGACAACTAGCCGCAAGAAGACGGAGCTCATCTCGGTCCGTCACGAACTTCGTGCGTAAATAAATAATACGTTTTCGTTTATAACTCTTTTTTTCTTTTATGTTCTTTAAAGATGTTCGCCAATGTCAGATCAAAACTATTGCAACCTATATCTTTTCCGTATAAAAAAATAAAGATTTTGATTTTTAATTTTTCTTAATAGTAAAATAGGAATTGGCTTCGGTATCGAGTGTTACTGGTTACTAGTGATCTGTAATTTTAGACCTCGCCGTCACAAGGCAACTGTGCTAGCGACGCTGATGGCTTACCACCGCCGCCGGAACAGACATCCGTCCGCCTAACTATGGAGCGTACCACGCAGACTGAAAGAAGGGTGCCTCGCTGGAGACAGCTTTTGTACTGTCTAGCGGGCGATGACCGCTACCGAAGGCAGCGACAATTAGAGGCCGGTACGTTAACACCTCATTCGACATCATCAAAATTTAAATTTGTAACCATCGTTCTTATTGTTCGTTTTATACTTACGGGTTTCGTCTGGTCACCGGGCTGACCCTTTCTAATTAAAGGTTTTAAATGCATCTGCAAATATTGCCAGCGGTATTATGATATCTAGCAATCCTGCTCGCTTGCCAAAATAAAAAATAAAATACAACATTTCATACAGTAGGACAATCACTTAGTGTCTCATTTCATAAATTTGCTAAAGTTCCGTTCCCGGACCCTTCCCGGATGTGCTTATGCGTGCATTATTTTAACGGGAAGTATCCCCTACGGGGCATTACACTATGGACCGTGACCCTAGGCGGTGAGAACCGCACTGGAACGTTGGTGTATCTTGTGAATGCGTTGCGTTGGTTTAGCTGTGCTCGTAAGAGAGGATGGAGTAATTGATTGTGTTTTAATACTATGTGTTGGGCAATGGCATGCACAGCGATTTCAGCAATAAAAGTTACCAATTTCTCTAAGTGACTCATTATAACATAACAAACAGGTCACTTAAATGATATCACAAGTGTCCTTTGAAAGAGCTGTGAGATGTTAAGTTTGTTTTATTTAAACAAAAAATACTAAATATTACGGTGGTAGATACATACCCACCGCTGTTGGATAGTTTTGTCTACCGGGACCTCCGTCGGAACCGACATACCTATGTCCCCTTCCTCGACCGGGTCGATGCGAAAGTTGCGCGCGACATTTCTTTTTTTGTTTCGACAATTTGTTGAGTCTGCAGTCATAATGCAAGTTATACTATCAATCTTGTCACAAGAGATCGCCTGGCTGTATAATGCGATTTGCCCTTGCCCGGGTGAACTCGGGTCATTGGGAGGTTACAGTTGGCTACGGGGCAGGTACGTGTGAAGAATATTGCTACACTCTTCTCGGGGTTGTCTTCCATTCTTCATTTTCGCACCCAATCACCGAGGCGATTCACGTTGCTTTAGAGGGAATAGTAACTCAGCTCGCCGGTGGTCTCGCATTCGGGGTCGCTGTCTATAACAGGTCGTTTAGCCTGTAATGGTGAAGCAGTCCTGGTACGCGTAGACAGGCATCTGAGTAGCGACCGCCGGCTCGGAGGGCGGCCGCAATAGCTTGAGCAGAAGATGAAGCCACGGCAGCAGATGTCGACGGCGATGGGTGTTTCCACGGCGACTCTTGCAGTGGTCGAGGTAGACTACGACAGCGCGGTGGCTTGTGCAGCTGGGCTCTCACTCGCATATGCGACGACTTTCTAACGTTTCACTGCGGACACGAGAAGCTGTTTCCCTATTTCCAATTGCCCGGAAGTACCCACAATTCCGCGAATAAGGAACCTATAATAATGATGAAGAGGTGAACAACTACGAAAGGTATCCTGACCGCCTTTGACTTTAGGTGCGTTAAATCGACTTACTTATTCTCGCCTAATGCAACAAGCACATAATTTATTTTAAAAAATGGCCGTCTATGAGCAAAACTCTAAAACAGTAATAAATATGAAATTCAACATTTACGGTAGATGTCCGACGAGAACAGGAAGCGGAATGTGTCAAAAATATTTGTTCCTTTTATGACTGCATATAGCCTGGGATTTTTATTATTTAAAGGTAGTTCCAAAAGAAGACATTCAAAAATATGAAGAATAGATTTTTTACACTATCCCCAAGCCGATACTGAAAGTTAAATATCAATTATATTAATAAAATTATATTTTCAACAGGCAAACGTGGCCACATCAACAGCGTATCACACATCGATAAAGCCGCTCGCATTCTATTTCCCGCTTCGTTTGCACTACTGAACCTCTTCTACTGGATGATATACGCCTTGTCCAGCGATGACTTCGCATGGAGCGATAATCCCATGAACACACTATCTCATTAAGTTTATTAAAAACTAATGCGATATATACAGTTCCAAAATTAACCTTAAAATGTTTATTGTCGCTTAAAATGACCGACTCAAAATGTCTATTCTATTACACTCTTGATGGATTGCGCAATTGGCTAAATTGCGTAATCTTTCTAAGTTAAAAACTTTTATTTGACTGTCATATTTAGTTTACTTTTAGTTTGGCATTTTAAAATGTTTTAAACTATAACACCTTTGAAAATGAAGACACACAAAAATGGGTCAATATGTATGGTTTAATTTAAAGTTATTCGTTTCTTGAATAAAAATATAGTATAATAATAATACATGTTCGTGATATTCAATGTTAGCGACCGGGTTGGAAGTAATATTAATAATATATAATAAGCGCTTTATCGACATGCAGAATTTTTTTGCAAACTTTCGAACCAGAATTGCAAAAAGTAGTGAAAATTACTTAGAATTTCATAATACTGTAGAAATATACTAAGACTGTAGAAATATACTAAAACTTAACTCTTATCATTGTACAATATATTAAATTTTTCGTTAGTTGCAAATAGAAATCAAAAACAAGTTTGTTAAATACAAAATAAAACATGAAACTACCTATATTACATGACAGCGGCATGGTATAAAAGTTACCGACACACCAACGTTAATTCTGTGTCACTGAATTTAATATTTATTATGTGAAATGCATTTGTATGTATAAATTTTATAAATCATATAGATGTAGTAAACAATGTCACTATTATTTTGCGATGCAAAATATGATCTCCACACTGATGCCTATCTATAAAGATAAATAAAATTGGAGTGTCTGTTTGTATTGGATGTATAAACGGTACATGCACCAAAATAAAATTTTTACAATTTTTGTCTGTCTGTCTGTTTGTTCCGGCTAATCTCTGAAACGGCTGGACCGATTTGGACGGGACTTTCATTGGCAGATAGCTGATGAAATAAGGAGTAACTTAGGCTACTGTTATTTTAGATTTTTTTTTTATTTTAAATTCCACGTGGGACGAAGTCGCGGGCACACCTAGTTGAGAATAATTTCTGTGATGGCTTATTCAATATTTCCGCACAACTGTCAGGTTGGGCGCAATAAGTTCTATTGGACTTATTTGTCGTAAATTAATACGCGCATTAAAATAATAAACATTAACTGAATGATTTATTGTCACCTCTTTGATGTAACATGAAGCTAAAGTAAATGAATTGATACAAGCTAAGAGATAATTTTTTGCTCTAAATTGATTTAACTAACACACTTAGGCTTATCTGTAATAACGGCATATCAAAGTAGCGTATCGTATTGGCACGAATATAAAGTAGTAAAGATAATTTGCACTGTTGTAACATAGATCAATAAAGCTTCGAATTTCATTGTTTTTTTTTATTAAATCTACAACACTATAAACATTGCACTTGAATGTATATATATATATATATATATTCATTTGTTAACAAAACATTTAAACGATTGCTTGATTCAAACCGATATGTTAAACAACTTCCCTGACATTAAGATACACAATGGCATAAAGCATATCACTATTTACAACGAAACAAAAAAAAAAACAATCTCAAAGTGAAACTTCGGTAATGTTTAAAGTAGAACACCCGTATTTAACTAAAGTGATCATAATTTGAATCATGGCTAATATCTCCAAAAACTAATTACAGCAGACACAAAGTCATGAGAAATTACCGAAGTATCACTTGATTACGAGTGTACCGAAAACAACTTTTTATTGATGCACACAATTAATACATACTAAATGAGATTATAGATTGTGCGGTACGACAGAATCGTGCGATTTTATAAAACATGTTTTAACATATGGTTCCACAAAACAAGAATATCTTAATAAACTGCATACATGTTACACTACGGAGAAGATGCTATCATTAGGTGTTTTGTTTGAAACGACCTATTCTACATATTAAACATGAAAAAACATATGATGAAGTAAACACGAATTCTCTATAGCGTATGTATAAAGCATATATGGTGTAAAATTTAATGTTCGCTATATTTTTTTAATAAATTCCCCAATCAATATCCCACAATTAATATATTTCAAGAGAGCATATTACAATAAAATAGAGTTTCATGTTTGGTCCAACATTTTTTTGTAAATACAAATATTTTATAACCACAAGAAGTTAGTACGTCGCAAATTCAAGTTATTGACAATAAATAGCTTATTTGTTTTAAATAGAAAGTTCGTTTTGAAGGCAAATAGTTAAAATACAATTGGAATGTATAGTAAGGCTTCTTATTTTCATAAGTTTGAGGAACACCACACGTAAGTTGAAGTAGAATTCATGACAACAATGTCAATGTTTCAAGAATTCCTAATAGCAAAATTCATTACAATCAAATTTGTTATATTCATTTTTTACAACTTCACGCGATGTCACCAGTAAATAGTGCCTCTCATGTAAATACTATATATTATCGGTAAAAGAGAAAGTACTTTTTTGTTTCAACTTAAACTAAGGACCTAAAAAGGCGGATTGCGAGCCTAATGGCCTAAGCCACGTTTAGAGATTTCCAGTGACTCCTATAGCATAAAATTATTTTGTTATCAAATTTTAGTATAAACTAATTTCTAAGAAACCTTTCTATTAAAGAAAATGCCATAGACTAAGTATTCCATATCACATTTTGTTTTACCATTTAAAAGTACCATTTCTGTTAAATATCATATTGAAATATATTTAATGAAACCGCAGTCTTATTAAAAAAATTAAGCATTACCTGTTTTAATTTAAATATTTCATTCTTTAAAATAAAAATGAAATTCAAAGCGCCTTTTGCCGAGTCTCGACTCAATTTGTAATTTATTACTATTATAAAGAAAAATACAGTATTTCAGGAAAAATAAATACATCGCAGAAATTGGCTAGATATGTAAAAAGATAAGACGTCATATCCCAACAGTCACGTCATACTTAAAATAAAAACCTGCCAGAAATCACAACATTAAATAACAGGGACAGACGCAATTTAAAGATCGAAACTAAAAATTATTAATTCAAAACTTCTACGTATACCTTTACTAAATGTTACAATATAATAAATATTAGTACTTTTTAATTAATAGTCATAAATAGATCATTACTGTATATAGGTTAGCCCAAAACACATAACGAGGTGAGTAGACTTACGTAGCCTTTTTTATAGATTTCTATATACAAAATAGGGTTTTTTCATTAATTATATAAATAATAATTAATCGTATATTACACAAATCTCACTACACAAGAATATTTTATTCGACAAATACCGAATAGAGTTCAGGTCAAGCGGTTCCGAGTTATAACGCAACATTATTAAAAAGTTATATACAAACATTAGTTCCCATTGCACAAAAAGGGTCAAAAGAGATACACCCAATGTTAAAGACTAGAGCACTGGTAGCACATTAGTATAGGCAAGGAATATCAATCACACGTTTCGCTTAAACAGAAATCACAAGTAGCATCGCCACGGCAAAAGTTCAGCTATTATATTAAAAAAAATATAATTTATATACTGTTAGGTCTTCAAGATGTTGTACCTTTATATCATTGTCATAACCCTTCCAATTTTAAAAGACGACAGAAACCAATTAAACTCATCACGTGGCAATGTTGTTAGATTTTAGACGGTTCAAGCTCATCAAGACCTTAGGTAAATACGACACACGCGCGAGTATTTTCTCAAACACATTTACAACATGCAATAAATAGGATAGAGACTCATCGCTTACCAAACCTATAGTGCTCCATTTCGCATTGTCAATGTATATATAAAATATAAATAAATCACAGATTCTACGTTTTCATTACATACAACTATCTATGGCTCCTTCTTGCCGGCGACGAGGTATACGTTCATGTTGTCCTTGCCCTTCACGTAGACGCTGCCGCGCGGCTCGAACTCGTACTTGGCCGAGAGCACTGGGAGGCAGGCCTCGCCCACCTGGATCCTCTTCGCCACGCCCGTGGAGTCCATCCTGGACGCGATGTTCACCGCGTCCCCCCATATGTCGTAGTACAGCTTGCTGGTGCCGATCACGCCCGCGGTGACGTCACCGAAGTTGTAGCCGATGCGCAGTATGAAGTCGAACTCGAGCAGGTCCTGGTTGAAGTTGTCCACGACCCGCTGCATCTCGAGCGCGAAGTCCATCAGCTGGTAGAGGTGGTCGTGGGTGCCGCGCGAGGAGTGCCTCAGGTCCGGGTTGAGCCCGCTGGCCGCCATGAAAGTGCTGCCGATGGTCTTTATCTTCTCCACGTGCTGGAACTGCGGCCGCTCCAGGAGCTCGTCGAAGTCCGCGATCAGCTCGTTGAGCACGCGCAAGTACTCCTTCCCCTTAAGGTACGACTCGTCGTACATCTCGTTGAAGTTCACGATGCTCGCGAATATGATGCCGACGTCCTTGTGGTTCTCGGAGTATTTGGCGGTGTTCTTCAGCTGGTCGGCCACGTGGCGCGGTATGATGTTGTGCAGCAGCCAGTCCGCTTGGTTCCTCATGTTCTGCACCTTCTGCTTGTCGAGGTTCGCGACGACGTTGCTGTAGAAGCTGAGCCGGTAGCTGATTTCGAACTCCCTGTTCAGGAACCAAACTAGCATCAGCAGCAGAACTATGTCCAAATACAGCTCCGTCAAATGCATCTTGTGATGTACACCCTCAAATACACCGGTGACATTTGTCCCGAACGAATCATTGTTGGTAGAATTCGTCACATTCAGAAAGGTGTCATTATAAGCGAAAATATAAGGATTGGAATTGAAATTAAACTCTAGCAACTGAGTGTTGGCCTCGCGGCAGCCCAGCACGGCGAAGAAGAGAAACAGCCCCGCGTACAGGGTAACTAAGGTGTTTTTAACAAGCCAGCTCATCTGAGTGAAGTTGCAGAATTGCACTATCCCGACGCAAAATAGGTAAACGTAGAACGACTGCTCGCCCTTGAGTATTATCATCGTGGTGTTCTCGCAAGTAAAGTTGATT